AGACAGCCAATCAGCAGCCGCTAATTCAAGAGTGCAAATATTTCTGGCAAACATCTATTTATAGATACTGAATGAAAGAAAGAACTAATAATAGAAACTGGCTATTAACAAATAAAGATGATTGTCTGGAAATAGTAAAATATTTTAAACCTTACTATATACACACACACACACACACACACATATCAAGTGGCATAATAAATGCAAGTTTTATACTGCCATCCAGATAAATGCTCTAGAACACTGCAATAAAATACTGCAATGAATATTTATTGAAAGCTTACTACAGAACAGACACTGTTTTAGATTCTTGAGATATAGTAGTAAATAAAATAAAACTCAAGGAGTTTCTATTCCAGTATTCTCCTTGTTAATGCTCTTTAAGTGGCATACGATAAGCCATTTACTATGTACTTTCATTTTACATACTGTATTTGCTTCAGTTTGTGAGATTATCTCATTCACCAGATTCCGGGTTTTTCAAAGTAAAAAACCTTTTGCTTTTCCCCTTATATCCTGCTACTGTACAATATTTAGAATGAAGTAATCGTAACATTTATGTTTTATTAAAAATAATTTCTATGTGATATCAAGCAGCTTTTTACCATTATCCTGACAATTACTAAATCCTCTTCAAGTACTTTAAAGTTGTATTTTTAGAATGTTTTGATTAATCAGAAATGGATAAGTAATAGTACAAGCATGATTCCAACATTTAAGAAGATTCATCCAGGGTGGATTTTTAAACTTGTAATAAATAGATGTACTTTCTTGGAAAAATATCTATTGTTACAGTAAAACCTGAGTTTCCTTTCTAACAAGATTGTATGATTACTCGTTTATATTGTTCTTTCCGCAGGAATGCACACACCCCCTGTTTGCATCCTGTTATTCACTTGGAGCTTCCCTTCTCTTTGCTATACTGTTTCCCTAGTATCAGGACAGTGATTGCAACTGCACATAAAAATTCAACCAGTTTTAGCATGCATCAAGTCATCTTTTTTTGCACCTAACATCTATTCAGGTCATAATGATTTCCTTCAAACTTCTGTGTTCCCAAAACATTATGTTGTCTTCCCAAGCCACTGGTGGCCTGGAAAAAGATCTTTATTATTTCCCTTATTTGTCATCTAACTTTGTTTCTATTAGCAAGCATTCTGAGAAAATGTTACACACTATACTAAGTTAAGGAGACACAATTAGAGTCTTTCTACAATTTTGGCCATTTGAGTTTGTCCGTCTGAAAAGGAAAAAAAAATTAAAAGCAAATCAAGGCATAAACAAGACTAGATTAAACCACTGCCTTTAATGCGTGATTCTTGACATGCATATGAATATTCAAATATGTCTGAAGATCTGTGAGTTCTACAGAGAATTTACTGAACAAGCATGTGAAGAGTGTAAACCCTGGAATGGACATTTTATCAAACTTCCCAGGTAATTTTTATGCACACTGACAGTTAAAAGGTGACAGACAATACAAAAACTAAAATAAAATATAATAAGGCACAATATAACTGCTCCTTGGAGGTAAAGATTCTGAAGCTTCGTTTGACGTTACTTTGGACATGTCACAGGATCAGTCCTTAAGAGGGGCGTCATGCTTGGGAAGGTGGAGGGACAGTGCAGGAGAGGAAGATTCTTGATGAAATGTATTGATTTAGTCACAGGGATAATGGGGATAGTTGTATCGGAGACAGTAAGATTAGCAAGGGACAGAGCAGGGTTTAGGGCTCTTGTACAGAGGGTCGCTATAAGTTGCAGGCAACTTGACAGCACATAACTACAAAAGCAATATAACTAGGTAATAATACTTCTCTATCTATTCATAACACCTTAACTAGAATGAAAAAGAGATAATCACACTGATGAACGGAGAAATAATTTTTAAAAGTGCAAACTCTAAGATAAGCTAAACCAGAATTTCTTTCACCCTATCAACCTCTTTTTGTACATTGCATTTCCCTGCACCTAACTTGGCTATTTATCAATTTTTACAGGTAAAATTAATTCTTATGAAACATTTAAGAATCTGAGCAAAGCTAAAACAGATTTAAAACAACAACAAACACTCCAAGAAATGACAAAATCAAATTTTTCAACATTAAAAGCAAGAGTATTGTAAGCACTTGTGAAGAATGAGAAGTTACCCACAAAGGAGAACCACTAAACCTAAACTCTGAGTTCTCAGCAGAATACATGCAGGAAGAAAGCAATGAAATGACCGAAGTAAAACTCTGAAAGAGAAAACTGCCAACCAAGAATTCTTCTCCCAGAAAAATTATCCCTCAAAAATAATAGTGAAATTAGGACATCTCTAGATAAATCAAAAACATGAAAACTTGTGAAAACAAGACCAACCCCAAAAGAAATATTAAAGATAATTACCTGGAAGAGAGCCAAACACAGACAACAATCAGATCTTTACATACATGAGGACATCATTCAGAAACTGATCGAGACATAGAAATAAACAAAGTACAATAAACACAGGACACTAAAAAATAAGGAACCAGAGGCAAGAGTCTATAAATGAGGACTACTACAATGCAGAGGGAATACACAGTGTGGTTAAAGAACTTGTAAATGGAGAGGAAGCCAAGGTGATTTTGAGATAAAGTGAACTTGTTATGTGCCGTCAAGTCTCCTGCAACTCATAGTGACCCTGTGTACAATAGCCCTAAACCCTGTTGTATCCCTTGCCAATCTCACTGTCTCTGACACACCTACTCTCTCTACCCCAGGCACTGAATCAATCTACCTCATAGAGGGTCTTTCTCTCTTGCACTGTCCCTCCACCCTGCCAAGCATGATGTCCCTCTCCAAGGACTGGTCCCTCCTTGCAATATGTCCAAAGTATGTCAGATGAAGCTTCAGAATCCTTGCCTCCAAGGAGCAGCCTAGTTTAACCATCTCCAGGATGAACCTGGGCATTTTCTTAGCTGTCCATGGTATATTCAATACAATTCTCCAACACTACAGCTCAAAGGCATCAATCCCCCTTCTATCCTCCACTAGTCATTGTTCAACTCTCTGATGCATAACAAGTGATTGCAAAGACCATGGCTTGTATCATGTGCACCTTAATCTCCAGAGTGACACCATTGTTCTTCAGTACTTTGGAGAGGTGCATAACAGCAGACTTTCCCACTGCAATACATCTTTTATTTTGTTGCTGTTAGGTGCTGTCCAGCCGAGTGCAACTCACAGCAAACCTATGAACAGTTGACCTGAATCTTGACCTATCTTGTGCCATCCTCATCATCTCTGACACACTAGAGCCCCCTGCTAAAATGACCATGTCAATCCACTTCACTTGGGGTCTTCCTTTGCTTCACTGACCTTCCATCTTTTCAAGCATGATATCCCACTCCAAGGAATGGCCTTGCCTAGCCACATATCCAAAGTATAAAAGATGAAGCTCCACATTCTCGGTGTCTGATAAACATTCTGGCTGCACTTTATCCAAGATGTATTTGAACTTTTGGCAGTTCATGGGATATTCAGCACCCATTTCTAGCATCACAACTCAAAGGCATCAAGTCTTCTTCTGTCACCCTTATTCACTGTTCAGCTTTCTGATGCATTCCAAGTGACTGAGAAGACCATAGCCTGAATTAGGTATGCCTTAGTCTTCAAACTGTCATCACTGTTGTTCATCACTTTGGAGGGGTCCTTGACAAAAGGCTTCCAAATATATGGTAGCCTAGTTGATAAGCAGTGAATTGTGCTGTCCAAAGGCATGTGGTTCAAATCCACCAGATGCTTTGTGGGAGTAAAATGGGCAATCTCCTCTTACTCAATTTACAGCTCTGACAGTCCCCTGGGGAGTTTTCAAAGGCTTTAAATTGCAGAGGAGAAGACTGCTCATTTTCTTCCTGAAGAGAAGTCAGTGCATTCAAACTGAATGTCTTTTCACTGGTAACCCAACTCCTTACAATTAAATCACCAGAGTTCCCTAAATGGTACACTACTATCCATTCTACTAATTCTATACAGAACATAATACATTGTTTGGGGGAACCCCCCCCCCAAAAAACAACAGTTTTATTTCCTAGGGCAGAAAAGCACAAACTTAAAAATAAAAATTAAAGTGTGCATAGATATTCTGTCTAGGTACTACTCAGAGCCAACAGTATCAACATCATTCTCAGTGCTAGTTAGAAATGCATATTGCCTGACCACACCTTTATTAAAATAGAAATTGCATCTTAGTAAGGTCTAGCTTTATGATCTTAGGTAAGTTAGTATTTGAAAAGTACTGCTAAAAATTACCAAGATTTCAACATTAATTCCTGTATGAGCATTTGTAAGGACAGAATGACATTGTCAAAAGACTAAACATTTCCTTGAAAATTCTATTGCTGCCTTACAAACAAAAGTACCCATTTGAAACACCTTACAATGATGAAATACAATTTGATTAAAAACTAATAAATCACATTAACTAGCTCAAATCCCTAATTTTATAGCTGAGCAAGCTGACGTATGTAAACCATTAGATAAAAGTTACTTTGTTGCTAGTACAATGAAACAAAAGTCCAATTTTACTGATTCTTTATTTTATAGTGCAGCTCTCAAAATATTTAAAAAATATTTTTCTTTTTTATTGAAGTTAATAGTTAATAACAAGTAGCTAATGAGAATTATGTACTTACATAAAAGGATAAATTAAATATCTGTAAAACACTGAAATTAAGCAAAAAATATATTATAGTTCATACAAATATTATTCTTTAAAGAAACTTTAAAAATTTTATTTGGAAGATGGAAACTAGAACCTGTACACTTAATATAATTTTCCAGTATGTGATTTACAGAGAATGGTATCATGGATCTGCTTTGATGAAGGCAATTGAAAAAAAAAAAATTAAGAGCCATTATGTATTTAGTTTGCCACTTACTTTTCATTATATAGTAATAAATTTAGAGCTTTTTTCACCATTAGCTAATTTTTATCATTTCCACAAACTTTAATAGAATTAAATCCTCTGTCTTACCATCAAAGAAGCTCTTGGCCCTCAGGTAACTGACACTGAGCCTCAGAACTGAAAGCTTGTCCAGCTTATTGATAACATCTTGTGGGAAGGGCAGCAGGCTAGCCAAACGATCCAACTCTGTATTAAGTCTGTCTCTGTGTCTTTTGGAAGGATTTGATTTGATACCTTCTGCCGGTATTGGTTTTACTCTGCAAAACAAATAAAAATTCATCAGAATAGAAAAAGCCAAATTTTACAGCATTGTAAAAGCTAATCAAGTATTTTTCTAATAAAATGAACATTTAAAATTTACCTCAAGTTTACATAAAGCTTCCTAACATCTATTTGTATTTTAATAAAGAAAAACAGCATTAAATACTTGATATTTTATTAATACGTTGCTGCACACTTTTATATTGATGACAGTGCTTAGAAACACATCTTGCCATCATTTGCGGCAACGTGTTAAAGTTCCAATGTACACATCACAGAATAGCTTAAGAAAATGCTTATTGTGGCATGATATTCAACAAAGGAATCTATTAGGATATTTTTTCCTCTAATGCAATTGGCCATTGTTCAGGGAAGGGGGGGGGAAAACACAGTGACAATAAATTATGTGAAAATTATACTTCCTTTGTCATCTTCTACAAAAGCCATCAATCTTAGTTTTATTTATGTAACAGATAAACAATAGCAACCCTAAATAAATGTGTAGACTCATTACCCCCCAGGCGATTTTCACATAGTTTCATTCCATCAGTGATAACTTCTCAAAGCCCTTCTGGTATCCAGATGCCATCTAATAATGCAGTTCTTGCAATATTAAAAAAATAATAAGTGTGACTTCATTTATATTTATTGACAAGAACTAGAGGTTAACTGTTATCACTGGAAAATTTTCTTCAAAGTATGTCTTTATTTTCTCTATTTTACTTCCTGTATTTGGTTTGCCACTTAAATTTCATTACGCACGCGCGCACGTGCACACACACACACACACACACGAAAACAAAAGATATAGCTATATCTATCGCTATCTCTATAGCTATCTATTTCTGTGTGTGTGTGTGTGTGTGTGTGTGTATATTTCTAAAAATAGTTAACTGGTATATCACAAAAGGTCAATACTTCCCCCAGACTATTTACAGAACCACTTGTTGTTGTTATGTGCCGTCGAATCGTTTGCAACTCATAGCGACCCTATGTACAACAGCCCTAAACCCAGCTTTATCCTGTGCCAAGCGCACTGCCTCCGACACACCCATCCCGATTACCCTAGTCACACGTCATAGAGGGTCTTCTCCTGCACTGTCCGTCCACCCTCCCAAGCATGATGTCCCTCTCCAAGGACCAGTCTCTCCTTACAACATGTCCAAAGTATGTCAGACGAAGCCCCAGAATCCTTGCCTCCAAGGAGTAGCCTGGTTTAACCCTCTTACTTAACAGAAATTGATGACTATTCCCCTTGCTATTTTACCCTAATTACATTAGGAATGAAATTCGGTCATATGTAATTTCTGTAGTTTTCCAATCAACGAACTTTTATCTTCAATGCATTGTCTACCTCACTAAACAAATATTAACGACCCAGTTAATGCAAGTAATGTTCTAATGAGAATTCAAATAACACTATGAAAACAGAGGGAGCAAGTGCTTGAGAAATATTTTACTAGACAATGGTAAGCTATGAAAAAGTGTCCTGCCTGCCATGCAAAACACAGGGTGAAGAAGGAGGAGACTGCAAAGCTGTATGAGGGTGCAATCTTTGAACTAATACTGAGTAACTACCAGGTACCAAACATAGAGCACTTACCAGCAAACAAAACATTACAACAGAAAAAACAAAAACAAACTAGCTCCTGTTCTCATAGAGCTTACTTTCCAGCAGGAAGATACAGAAATAAATGAATAAACAAGTAAAAGCTTTTCAGGCTCTTAAGTGTTAAGAAAAATCAAGCACAGTAAGAAACTAAGGACAGATGGGGTTATTGGTTTTGTTATGGTCAAGGAGGGCCCCTCTGATAGGGCATTTCAGCACAGACATGATTAAATGGCATGTGTGTCACAGGAGAGCCTAAAGGGGGAAAAATGTAAATAATTAAGGTAAAGGAATTAGCAAGTTTCCTTAAAGAAATGATGCAATCAATGAAAACAAAGCATTAGGAGTTAAGTCTCGGCTGTAGATTGTCACCCCAGCCCTGTTCTTCTAAGCTGATTCTTGTGATGGAGAGGATGGAATACAGGGAGCATCTCACTGAATTTGGATTCTGGTAGTAGCAATTTATCTTTAAAGTATAAATCTATTTTATAACTCTGATCAAAATCTTTCACTAGCTCCTGACAATCCATACTCCTCAGAGTAACAAGACCCTTTTATGAGATTGTTAGCCTCTATTCACCACTCAAGCCTCATTTCCTCTAGCCAGAGCTTTATAATGGACAAAAAAATCCACTATACTGCAAAACAAAGAAATGTCTGCATTAATAAATATGTATTTTGATACTTTTATATATGTTATTCCTCCAAACTTCTTTGTCCTGCTCCAACTCTCTCAAAGCCTTGCTCAAGTAGACCCCTGTTGTCAAGCCTTCCCTGACCTACCACACAATGAATTATCTACACTTCTCTGTGATCTCTGATCCCTCGCCTCCCAAGTCACATCTGCAAGGCACCTTCTCACACACTTCAGGAATGTTATCAAGAGGGCCAACTCCCTACAGAAGGACATCATTTTTGGTAAAGCAGAGAGCAGTGATAGACTAAGCAGACTAAGACAGCGACAACAAGAATATTGTAACTTATACACAGCAGGGATGGTGAGGGTAGCACAGGATCAGGTAGTTTTGTTCTACTGCATACAGAGTCACAATGAGTTAGAGATTGTTTTATGGCAAATAACAACAATTCCTTCACTCCCTCTGTAGCCTACACAATTTTTTTATACAATCATTCCACTAAGGAATTTCTATACAAATAATATTGCAAACAAAATAAAAAGGTATATACAACCTAATCTTACACTTCTGGTGACTATATAAGAGGAAAATAGTAACATATATACTAAAGGAAGAGACATAGAGGGAGAAATTAACAAAATGGCTCTTAAGAAAGAAAGCTTAAAAGTAAGGGGGTACTGCTGTTCTTGTGACCGATCTCTATAGTATCCTTTTTGATATGAAAATAAATGTTTCTTTACATGAGGTAAAAATTGTTCCTATCTCTGTTATTAGGGCTCTCTAGTAGTATAGTCTCTTGCTGTGCAACTGAGAGCTGGACAATGACTAAGGATGAAATAAGAACAGATGCTCTTGACCTGTGGTGCTACAGAGAATGCTGAAGATCCCATGGACTGCCAAAAGAATAAACATACATTGTTTTGGAGAAGCTGGGGCCAGAGTGTTCTTTGGAGGCAAAGATGATGAAACTTTGTCTCTCATACTTTAGACATGTTGCTAAGAAAGGTTATTGCTTAAAGTGGGACACCATGCTTGAGAAGGTGAAGGGACAGCGAAGGAGAAGAGGACCCTCGACCAGATCGGTTGACAACATTGACTGTGGCAGTGGGCCTGAATGTGTCATATTGTGAGAATAGTACTGGTTAGGACAGGATTAAAATCTGTTGTTTCTAAGATTGCTCTGAGCCATAATCAACCGTACTTAATAACAACAGTGGTATAGTCTGTGGAGAGTTGCAATGCTAATTCAAAGGTCGCAGTCCTCTCACCAAATTCACCAGCCACTTGAGGGAGAAAGATGAGCAGTCTCCTCCCCTGCAATTTACAATCTTCAAAATGCACTAAAGGGTCAGCTATGAGTTGGATCCAACTCCACCAACAAGAGAGAAATGTATTATAAACGCCTTGGGAAATACTTAGCATGAGATAAAGCTTCCCTAAGTAGTATATAGGTTTGTTGTGGAAAGGGTTAAACTGGGTGGCTCCTTGGAGGCAAGGATTCTGAGGCTCTGTCTAACATACTTTGGACATGTTATAAGGAGGGACGGGTCCTTGGAGAGGGACATCAAGCTTGGGAGGGTGGAGGGCAGATGCAGGAGGGGAAGGCCCTCTATGAGGTGGATTGATTCAATGACTGGGGTAATTGGGATGGGAGGGGAGTGTCAGAGACGGTGCAATTGGCACAGGACAGAGAAGAGGTTAGGGCTGTATACACAGGGTCGCTATGAGTCGTAAGCGACTCGACGGCACATAACAACAACAACAAAGTAGTACATTATGGATATCACATACACTTCTTTTTGTCTGTCTCTTTCATTACTATGTAAACCTGGTCATCTCTTTTCTCTCACTGCCAGCACAAATGCTTGGCACAGAGTTGTTCTCAATGTTTGTTAATCAGAAAAATAATCAGAACCAAAGGCACTGACAGTAAGGAAGGTAAAGAAAGGACTGCTTGAAATCCTCAGCACAGCACCTTACTGCTCATCAAAGCCAATGAGTCACTCAATGAGCTGGTGATTGGACCAAGCTGCAAGGAAGAGGGAAACGCTGAGGAGGAGAGGTTTCAAATTACTCTGGGGTTTGCAGCTTGGGGTAACAAAGAGTTCTTATAAAAGGTATACCAAACAAGAGAAAAATGGCTTGAGAACAGACTGTAGCAACATCAACATCTAGGTATAAGGCAGAGAAAGAGGCAAATACAATGATCACAGTGGGGAAAGGACTGAGTATTTTGATAGTCACAGGAGAAAAATCAAATGCACAGAGATTAAATAAACTCAAGAGATGAGAAGTACTCATCAGAATTGGCAATTGACAACTATTGCATATCCCACTAGTGTTGAAGCTGCTGATAAGAAATAGATTTGACTCACTTTTACCCTCATTTTGTGTAAAACTATTTAGGACTATTTTCTGAAAATATCTCCTACATATCCACACATGTTGAAGATGCCCAGTTTTGTTAAAAATAGACAATAATCCTAAATCAATCACACTTGGATTATATAGTGCTATTACCTTTTACTGTCTCGAAATCTATACCAAGACATACTGCCAACTATCTATTTTTAATAAGCTACATGTGAAATGTAAACAAACATTCCTGTAAGATTGGATTTGGGAGATCTGGAATTCAGACAGCTTCTGAAATAGAGACTGTAAGATGTTAATCAGGCAAAGAAGCAATTTATTATTTTTTTAAACCTTAACCTCAAAAGTCCTGTCCCAACCTGTAAATCAAAATGGT